ACTGTTGTTGATGGATGACAGTAACATCATGTGAAGAGCAGAAGGTGTTCAGCTCTAGCACAGTCACCACCTTCACAGGTGAAAGTATCGACCAGTTTAACATGAAAACTGTTCAGTAGGAAACAGATGGAACTGCAACCTGGAGCAAAACCAGACTCTTCATAGATGTGATGCTGTGACCTCAGAGACGCATGTGTTCACCTCACACACTCTTTAGTGAGAACTGAACACTGACAGTTCAGATTGTGAAGCAGTTGTCAGTGTAGTACAGCTCATGTACATTAGTTTTATTCAGAACTTCATTGTTGTCATTGAAAAGGTTTTTAATAAATAAACCTGTGATTAAATTGCTGCTACTGTTAAAATTCACACCAGACACGCTCCATAAAAACCATCAGCAAAGCAAAGCTTCATAAAAACTTTATTTCACATTAAAACTGCATTAATTTCAACAATTTACATCAACTAGAGACATGTATAAAAGAATGTAATAAATGGATGAATTAAATAATGTGCAATTTACAATCAACTAACTGACAAATTAAAAATAGAATACAGTTGTGAATGAAGGTGCAGGTGAACTTCACGTTATACGTACGTTTTACAGTTTAACGTTAGCACACATGCTAACTTCAACTACAATAACAAGTTACTCCTCACATATATGATATTAGCCTGTAAGACTAATGTAACAGTTGAGACAGCTAACCGTGTTAGCAGCATCTTCGCACGGCTCAGCCAGGAGCCTGTTGCCGATGCGGGTGGGTGTACTCAGTGTCCTCGAGGACACAGGTCAGATCCACCCTCTCATCCAAACATGGTTTATTATGGCTCCAAAAAACCCAAGATGGCGACGTCCATTAAGCCAAACTCTAGGCTTCAAAAAGGCAGTTGACGAACCAATGGGTGACGTCACGGCAGTTTGACACACACACACGCACACGCGGTACAGTATATAGAACACCATATGTTAGTGTTTGCGGACCGAAGATCTAGTTTATTGAACACGGTTCCCTGAGCTGATGGAATCTGGTGGCCACAGCAAATGAATTGGTGATCATCAAGTTTGTACTGTTTTCTTTTATGGTATATGGAGCACAAACACACAGCCTAGTGAAGTCTAGGCAGGAAGACAACAGCAAGAAGCGCCTGGGTTCAGCTTCAACCCTGGTTCTTTCTTGTAGTGTTGCATGTTCTCCTTGTGTTTCCTCCAGGGAGGAAGACATGCACATTTCATTGATTGAGGACTCTAAATTGTCCACAGGTTTGATTGTGTGTTGTTGTTGTTGTTGTGTGTTAAACCATTTTCCTGCTTTCCTCCCAGTGCATGCTGGGATACATTCCAGTACTTCAAACTTTTTTGTTTGAAGTTTGAATGTTTGATGTGATGAAAAACAGTTTGCTCTATTTCATCCAGAATTACAAAGTTTGAATGTAAAAGTCACATAAATGTAAAACTAATAAGATTTACCTTAAATTACAGAGGAAATCTTTAAATTGTTAGTATGGACATTAACCTTTATAATAACAAGCTACATTTTTAATTACAGATAATTACTGTAATTTTACACAGATTTGTATGTAATTTAAGAAAGCAGAAAAATACTGTATAAATAATACAGTAATTCTTCTTTAAAAAATGGGAAATAAATGTAATTCATTATTATTGGCATAATGCTTAAAGTAGAAGTTTGGCTGTTAATTCACTGATTATTTCTGTAATTTTACAGATTACTGTAAAATGAGTTACTTCTTTATTAGGACTTTTTTTTACAGTGTGTGGTGAAGACAGCAACTCACCTGATCCCTGGCTATTTCATGACATCATCAAACGGCATCTTTTGTTATTGTTTTGATTGAGAGACCCCCCCCCCCCGAGGCAGAAGCTATAGACTGTGCATTTTACACCGCACTGGGTTGGGATGTTGGCTTTGCCCACTCTCAGTAAAACTACTGTTTTAATCGCTAGCTCCCAAACAGCTGTTCCTCAAGCAGCTTTAATTCCTGTTACCTAGAGCCTCACAAATCACCATAAACCTGAATCAACACCTCTCTGATTCATAAAGAGAATTTACTGCAGGATTGTTGTACACACTAAGGTTAGTTTCTGAATACGCCGAGCGGATAAAGAGGAACTGAGGGAACAGAAAACAGTGATACTTTCTAGTCACATAAGCAATGAAACTGAAAACCGCCCAAGTTCAGACGCTTCAACACACCACAGAGGGTGAAATGCTTTTATTTTTACTCTTTGCAGCCTGGTCACGAGAGTTTTGTCACAGGCTGACCAGTTATTAATAACATCTACAAGATTAACAATCAATGAACTGTTGATCAGGAACCAGAGACGATGCTACACATTACAGAGAGAACTTAATGTTGATTTGTTTTTCACGGTTTACAGTAAATTGGGAAGTTCACGCATGGCTGACAGAAGAACAGAAAAAATCATTTCATCTCGGGGACTTACAGACATTCAACTTTCCACGCATGTTAATCATGAAAAGAGGAAGGAAGCCAGGAGAGATGTTAACAGATGTCTTATACTGATTCAAATAACTGTTCAGTATTTCTTATGCACAGAGTCGCTCGGAGCAGAGATGAGTCTAACAGCAGTAGTAAGTGGATTTGTTGTCTTTGTTCTCTCAGGTACTGTACAATTACAATTACAATTACAATTACAATTACATTTACATTTACATTTACATCTCTGGGTATTCAGCACATTTACTTTATTTCAAGTTGAAGCTAAATTTATTGAGGAATCATTGAGATCATCAGTAGATTTGAGACGAACCTGCAGTTCCTGCAACAAAATTGACATAAAATAGATTATACTGGAGTAGAAAATGTTGTTTGTCTTTAACTTTAATTTTGTCAGTGGAAGAAATGTTAGCATTGATGACGAAAGGTCAAATGTTGAGCCAAAGGAAACCAATGCCAATAAAAAGAGGAAGAGAATCTAGATGTTTCTTTCATTTAAAGCTATGTGGTATGTGTGGATTCTTATCTGCATCAAATAGGAAGTGCTGGACTGGCTGCCAGGTGTTGATAGATAAAAGGCTGAAGAAGGAAAAATAACAACAACAGTGCAGTGCTTCTCTTACAGAAGGAATATCCTCACCGCGCTAGAAAGTAGAAAATCCAGTGAACTATCGCAGCCACTCGCTGAGTAGATGAGTTCATCTCTCATCTTCTGTAACTCGACCTGCTGATATCATCATTTATGCAACAGTTAGTTCAGACCAAGTAATTTGATAATAATGACTGTGTTTACAGCCGGAGGTGTCCTGTCAACAGTTTTACAGGCGTCTCTTTTACTATTGTGGTCTATGGGGTAAATGCTTTTTGGGCCACAGGGGATCACAGCCTAACTCATCATCATACATGTGCACTAAACTAAACTGCACTGCAAGTCATCACAAACTGTCGGTGAAGCGTTTCACATCAGTGTTTTGCATTTCGCTTTAGTTTCACACTCCTCACTGGAAACTAGTCAGACACGTAGTGGCCCACTCTTCTAATAATGTATGTGCTGGTTCCTTATTCTCTTCACTATAAGTGGCACTGATGATGGTGATTCTCCAGCTATATATATATAATATACTCCTTAAAATGCATTGAAAGTGCCTGTTAAATAGTTAGTGTGAGAAGAGAATTGAAGCCACTAAAAGTAAAGTGTAAAAGTTAGAAGTCGATAGAATAACATGGATAAATGATAGTAATGGTGGCTGAATGGTTACAGAGCGTTCACTACAGCATCCTTTGTTCAAGTCTGACCTTTGTTGCATGTCATAACCCTCCCTCTTGCTCCACTTGTTTCCCTTCTGTCTCTTTACTCTTAACTGTCCACTATGAGGCAAAAATGCCCCAAAAAATAAACAGCTACAATTAATGGATAAACAGTTGAAATAGTTAAAGTAATGGATAAACTGCCTGAAAGTGTCTTTTTCTTATGTAATGTGATGTATTTCAGAGTGAAACAGGGTTTAATGACAAAAGTGACGCAGCCCAAATCTGGCCCATATACGGCATGATTGTCAGATGCTACTACCACATCTGGACCAGACAACACCAGAGGAAAACAGTCAGAATCTGCCCAGATGTGGAAGTATATATGTGCCAAACTCGTCTTGTCTTTCAGTGTTCTGAAAGACTCTGGAGAACAGGTCCACTCTGTAAATCCAGAAGCTTTTGAAGACGCATTATTAACAATGCTTCTCTGAAGTTCGTCCATTTTCAGAAACCCCCCCCCCTCATATATTCGAGCCTGTTGTCTGATGTTGTTATAGATCTGTGGTCTCTGCTGCTCTGTGTTTCAGTGATACAGGGTCACAATGACTGGGGAGTGATTTACCCTCGCTCTCACATCTGCGCCTTTAAAGGATCAACAGTGGAAATACGCTGCAGCTACAGTTACCCATCCAGGATGAATGACCATGATACTGCTGCTGAGGAAACATTCTGGTTTACTAGATTCAGTGATAATGAACCTGTGGATCTGAGAGCAGACTCAGAGTATTCAGGTCGTGTTCAGTATCACTGTGGGGAGAACGACTGCACTCTGAGAATCACAGACCTGAGAGAGAGCGACTCAGCTGAGTACAAGTTCAGGTTCATTACAAACCAACCAGGAGGGAAATATACAGGTGAACCTGGAGTCACTTTGTCTGTCACAGGTAACATATCTGTTGGAAACTACATAAGTTAAACCCTGAATCTTTGTAAATCTATTATCATTTATCTGTTGACAGTTCTGTCTAAAACAATGTCTGTTTCTTTATAAATCCAGGTTTACAGGTGAAGATGAGCGAATCAAAAGGGTGCGTGTTTGAGCCCTGTATATCGTCACGTCTCACGTGTCACAGCAGTTGTCTTCTACCTGATCATCCGTCCTACATCTGGTACAAGAGTGGAAAGAATATTCAGAAAGATGCACATTCTTTTCCAGCATACTTTTATGGTAAAAACAGTTATGCCTGTGCTGTAAAAGGACACGAGGATTTCCCCTCTCCTTCAGTGTGTGAGTTTAATCCACAGTCTTCCAGTAACATTAGCACTCGTTTGAATTTTTATCTTATACACCACCATGATTTCATCTTTCTTCTACACAGGTAACTGTGTCCACAGCAATACAACCAACTGAAACTGAATAGTGATGATCAAAAATATTTCATTTTCCAGGTGTCCATGGTTCTTCATGCAACAGAGTGACTTACACTGACAGAAGCATCTGTGCCTTTAAAGGCTCTTCAGTTGACATTTCTTGCACTTACAGCAGTTATCAATCTATCAAATCTAAATTCTGGTTCAGTAATGATCAGCCGCAGCGTTACATACGACCTGTGGACCTTGAAGACTCCCAGTACTCACGTCGTGTTTATGTCCTTGAAGCAGAGAGAGGACGCTCCACTCTGAGAATCACTGACCTGACAGAGGGAGATTCAGCTGAGTATCGCTTCAAATTCAAAACACAAGGGTTTGAATGGGGGAGCAGCTTACGTGGTACAACTCTGACTGTCACAGGTACTGATGAGCACAAGCTCATTATGTCACTGAAATATGTTCATGAGATTATTCTTTCTTAATGATGTTCATTTTGTTATTTGCATGGTAAGATAAAAGTGAAGTCTAACATAAGGGACTGTATTAAATAAGAAGTAAATGTGGAGCATGAGCACATTGTAAGAGAGTGAAGTGTACATGGGGAAGTGGCTGATTTTGCATGATGGGTTGCACTTACATCCACTGGCCAGAGGGGGGAGAAGTTGTTCCTCTAACTCTGTGTGTTATTGACGGTTCATTTTATGTGACATATCTGCTTCTCGTCCACAGATCCAGATGTGCAGGTGCAGGTGATCTGGACTTCTACCGGTCCAACACTGATTTGTTCCAGCAGCTGTCTTCTCTCTGCTCGTTCTTCCTTTGTCTGGTACAAGAGAGAAAAAGAAATTCAGGGAGAGACGTCTCCATCTTTTAGAGGACACGTTGATCCTGAGGACAGTTATTCCTGTGCTTATGAGGGTTACCGCTCTCCTCCAGTGTGTGAGTTCACTCCACTACGTCACAATGACACACTGAAATTATTTCATATTGATTTTCACATAAGATGTTCCTGCTACCTACAACCTGCTGATCAGTGCAATAGCAACGGCAGCGAAGATAAAGTAAATATTCATGTAAATACACTCAAACTATCAGCTGCATGACAAAGGACATGTGTTCTACGATGGAGAACATTGAGGAAGAAAAAGATCTGGAACTTTGAGAATAAAGTCGTAATATTATGGGAATTAAAAATGAAATTAGGAGAGAGAAAAACATTATTGTGAGACATATTATGAAAGTCAGTGGCAGCTGCTGTTTGTCTGACAACAGAATAAACTGAGTTTCTTCACAATCTTTTCAATATCCTGATGATGATGATGATGATCCTGATGAAGATGATGATGCTGTGAAACCTAAAGTTGAACTTCACATGATGCTCCACGTTCCTCATTTTAAAGCTTCTGATATTTCCCCTCTAAAACACACAACCTAAAATTAGAGCTTCTTGTCAAATTAAATTTTTATTTTCATAATATTAAGACTTTATTCTTCTAAAATTATGTTTTTGTTTTATGACTTTATTCTCAAGTTTCCTGATTTTTTCCCCTCAGTGTGGCTTCAACTCTTCAGGGATGCACACACTGTGTTTTGATGTGTTGGTGGTTATTGTGCATGATTTAATTTAGGTAACCACAGCGGATCATTGGACCTCATGGGGCTCCACTTCCACTTCTCAAATCAGACTGTCACGTGTGTGTGACCTGGGTGGAAAATAACACAGTGATTCCAGAAACAGATTTATGAAGATATAAAGTGTGTAGTTGATTATATGATGATATAAAGGTAGAAAAGTAATAATAATAATAATAATTGGGGAAAGTAATAACAATAAAGGGGGCGTCTCTTTCTCCAAAAATAAATCACTAGGTTCAGCCCAGTGATTTTAACACACACAGGTGTGAAAGATGGTAAGGATATATTCAATCATAACAGTCTCATGTTAATGTGTGTTTATATCCTGCAGATCCTCCGAAGGTCTCAGTGTTGATGAATCCCTCTGGTGACGTAATGAAGGACAGTTCAGTGAATCTCACCTGTAGCATCGATGCTAACCCAGCAGCTAAATACACCTGGTACAAAGAGAAGCAGTTACTGCTCAGTGGAGAACCGCAGCTTGTTTTCACCTCCGTCCAGTCCTCCGACTCTGGAGAGTATTACTGCACAGCTGAGAATGAGCTGGGGAAGACGACATCTGAATATGTCTCACTTAATGTGAAATGTGAGTAAAAACGTTTTAAAATAAAGGTTTTGCAGATTGAACTTGCTTTTCTTTGACTCGTAGCTTCAGCGTTTCTGCTCGGATGTCTCCTGCGTTTTGGATCCTCTGCTCGGCTTTCACGATCCTCTGCTCGGCCTCGTCCAGTCTGGTGTTTGTCTTCACCGTTTCTCCCTTAATGTCCTCGAGTGGCTCCTTGTTTTCCTGGTGAAAAAGCTCCTCAGCTCCCGCAGAATCCGCTCCACATCAGCGGTCCCTTCATGGGGCATTTGCTCTTTGCCTGCTTGTTTGCTAGCCATGTTGCTAACGTTAGCTGGTGAGTGGCTTCGCAGTTGCTGGATTTCTTCGTCGTGTATTTCTGGTTGCTGTTTGTTTTTCTTGTTTTTTCAGTCTGGTTTCCCTTTTAATTCAGCTTTAGTAGAAAGTTTGTACTTTTTTGGGGGGATTTAGAACAAAGATACTCTAAACAGAAGATAGCGCATTACAGGTAGCGCCAATGGTATAAAACGGGACACACTTCCTGTCTTCTGAGTGGGCGTGGTCGTGATTTCTTGTTCAAGTCAAAACATCACAACACAATACAACACCAGATATAGTGTGAATTTGCGCCTGATTTTGCCGCTCGTTTTTATCTGCCATCTTAACATGGGATGAATCCAGTACAAGATCATATCAGTCTAATAATGCTCTGTTTTCCCTCCAAAAACAGTGAAATGATGATAATAGCAATAGTGTTATTAAGCAAAGAAATACAAGTTTTATTTCCGTTTAAACTTTTAATTAATGGTTTCACATGAGTCCCTCTAAACTTCTGTGGTTGGAAAGCGACGTCGGCAGTGCTTCAGTTGTTCGCTGTCACAATATTCATCACAGGAGCTCCTCTAAAGTTTCAGATGCTGCAACTTACGTGGATTCATAAAGATCAATGTAAATACATCTCTTCCAGATGGTCCTCAGACCTCCACTCTGTCAGTGAGTCCCTCTGGTGAGATAGTGGAGGGCAGTTCAGTGACTCTGACCTGTAGCAGTGATGCTAACCCAGCAGCTAATTACACCTGGTACAAGGAGAATGAAGACTCACCAAAAGCTTCAGGACAGATCTTCACCATCACTGACCTCAGACCTGAACACAGTGGGAATTATTACTGTGAAGCCCAGAACACAAGAGGACGTCGTAACTCCACCTTAAATCTGACTGTTGTAGCAGGTGAGTTACACACATTCATCTACACACACCTGTTTACTGCACTAGAGCTCATCAACATAAAGAAACTTTCACTGATGCAAAGAAAGTCTGAGGATTTCCAGACTTCTTGTAGCTGTGTACTGAGACCTCCATCATACTGAACATGGACGACACTGACTGACTGACTGACAGCATCACCTGACAAACTGATCTATCAGTCTAATCTTACTGCTAATGTCTCCTCTCTGTTGGTCTCACTCTCCAGGTAAATCAGTATTAATTATGAACATCATCAGGTTGACTCTGGTGGTCCTGATGCTGATTCCACTGGTCGTCTTGAGTCTGTGGACGAGGTAAAACAATAAAAATCCATCAGTTCAGTCGCTGCTCTTTTATTTTCTTCTTCAAACTTCCTGTAGTTTTTGGTTTGATGAATTTCATTATGTTAAATCTTGTATTTGTTGTTGGTTTGAATCCAGGAAGAAGAAGAAAACTCTGAGTTTAAACTCTGAACCAAATGAAGCTGTAGAGATGATGGAGGTGAGAGACAGAGAGGTCCTACAAAACTTACACAACTTACTCTCTATCACAGTTATTATAACTTGGCTCATAAACGCTCTGGAAACTGAAGAAGATGTGAAGTGAATTTATATTTAAAATACAACTTTCTCATTATGAACCAGTAAAGTATTTGACCACATCACATTTCATCACATAATTCAGTTTTAAACAGGATTAAAAACATTAGAATAAAATGTAATTGTATGCAGGTGTGATGAATGAGGTCCAGTGAGTGTCATTTTGTCACCTCTCTCCATCAGGTAGACTCTTGTCCTGGTTATGAGAACAGCACCACTGCAGCACAGACACAAGACACAGAGGAGCAGGAAGACCTGGTGTGAAGTTACAGTCAGGTTAGAGCCTCTCACACTTAATGAAAGAAATAGATAAATAACACACAGACTCCAGATTTATAATTACAACTGTAACTTTACACAGGTTTCATGTGATCTTTTTTAGATGATGTTGAAGCAAAGGTGGGACTCACCTGGTGGAAACAGGAAGTAGAACATTGATTTCAGCTTTAAAGATTTTTCTGTTAATTTTCTACTTATTATTTTATTTAGCAGCTATGAAGACAGATAAAGTTTAAATCTGTTCCTTTGTTCTGATTGATTTTCCTCAGTTTTGTCTCTATATGGATGAAATGTGCCACAGTGCAGTAGTTTATTAGTATTCAGGATGTTACTGATATGAAGATGCAAAGACAGTTTTTATTGAAGAGGACCTGAACTTCCTGTAAATCTCTGGGGTCACTCATCAAAGCAGAATGTAGTTCACTAAATGTGAAGCCTTTTCAGAATAAAAGTCCATTGTTGACAGCGTGTGCAACACCCTAATTATAATTTGAGGAGTTTACCGTTGTAATATGTCAAAGATGTTTGTCACCAGTGTGAACTAATGACACGTCCTGAACTTAATCTCTGTAAATAACTTAAAGTGTAAATAGTTTCAATCATAAATGTGTAAATAAAGCACCAAGAGTAAATGTGATTAATCAATGGATGGTAAAATGTTTTCTCATGGCTCTGATCTGGTATCTCTAATGTTGTTTATATCTTTTAATGATCATGAAGCCTGGCTCACCAGGGTCGACAAGTCAGGCCGTTGTTGTCTTCTGAACTCTGAGCGTCATGTTCGGTTCAAAATGGCGCCAGGCGGCCTCCGACCTCCAGGGGGCCTCCGACCTCCAGGGGGCCTCCGACCTCCAGGGGGCCTCCGACCTCCAGGGGGCCTCCGACCTCCAGGGGGCCTCCGACCTCCAGGGGGCCTCCGACCTCCAGGGGGCCTCCGACCACCAGGGGGCCTCCGACCTCCAGGGGGCCTCCGACCACCAGGGGGCCTCCGACCACCAGGGGGCCTCCGACCTCCAGGGGGCCTCCGACCTCCCACCAACTGTGGCGTCAGTTTCTTTTATTTTATTCTTTTTTTTTCATCAAATCACATAAATTGATTAAGAATGTGTGTGTTGAAATACGAACCGATGAATGCAGAATTACTTCATTTGCAAATAAAAACATTATGATCGGTTTGCAGGCTGTGTCTGTGTCATGATGATGACAAGTGACGTCAGAGGTCAGGGGTCAGGCGGTGACCGTGGGAGTTTAGCGGCAAAGTCGGCTCGTGCTGAAAGAGCTTCTTCAAACATCATGAAAATCAAACGTTGGAGCAACAAAGAGAAAAAAGAAAAGCATTCTGAGAAACTGAAGTTCTGACAAATAAACCATCTATCTCTACCTTTTTTTCCCCCAAACCTCGGCTACTCGGTACACTAGCATTAGCATAGAGCCTGGAGAGGACGATGCTAACGTTGCAGAGGAAGAGGAGAGTAACGCGGCAGTCACTGACGTTAGTTCAGCTGAGCATCAGAGAGCGACAGCCATGAGACACACACCTGTTCATCTGCACCACCCTCATCTCCACCTGAGCAGGGTGAGCAGGTTACCAGTTTACCAACACCACAACTTAGTACTAGTACAGGGCCTCTGTGTTCTTAGTCCAGGCCTGGACGTATCAGACCCAAGACTGATTGTGTCTTTCAAGTGAATATCATGCCATGAAAAGTGATGATGCTCTGCACTCCATCGACTAACACAACACAAATGTTGACTGTACTTTAATCATATTTTATCCTTACAATAATCATACGTTACCCAGCGTAACATGCTGTTATATTTATGTGGCAATATGACAGGCAGAGTTTTCTTCCTATGCTTTAACTGAAGTAAAGTTTCAGACATATTTTTTACAGCAAATATACAAGGTTTGATAAAAGCAGGAGTCAGAGAGAAAATATGAAATTTCTTTGTAATTTGTTTCAAACAACCTTTTAAAAAACAAAAGAGCAACCAAACAAGTCTTTACAAACCCTACATAAACCACTGTTGTTTATATGTTTGTACTTTTTCTGATTCTCTTGATGCTGTAAAATCCAAGTATAAATAACAGAGCACAGATTCATGGTGTGTTTTTGTTGTTGTTGACTGTGCTGTACAGTGCACATGAATCATTTCCATCTTCTTGACGTCTTGTTCTGTGAAGGGAAGAATAAACCATTCACTCTGACAGTTTTTAACCTAATGTGTATTTTCTTGTTAAATAAGTGTAGTGATGAAAATGTTGATGTGAGAGGAGCTGCTCACCCTGGTGCACTGCTGGCATTGTTAAATCTGACAGCAGAGTATTCAACCCCATCCTCCTCCTCCTCCTCTTCCTCTGTTTCTCTCTGGGGATGAACTCTGACGTTGGAGTAGACAACATCTCCCTGGTTCTGTGAGAAGCAGATGCTGGCGTAGTGAAGGTCACCCTGCTGTCCTGCTGCTTGTCTCTGTGCTGCAGATGACGGGGTGTCATACACTGGACCCACGTTCAGCTGACGGGACAAACAGAACTCAATTATAACAAGACTTTTATTGTGCTGTTGCACAAAATGACCGTACAGTAAAATACTTGCTGGATGGGATCAGGGGAGTTTGTTCTTCAGCTCTTATTCTTTACTTCAACAGGTACTGAGAGTTTCTGGAAACAGTTCTCACACTTAACAAAAAGCTTTCTGTTGTAATTCCTACTGGCCACCAGCAGAGGACGATGATATTCACAGGTTGATTAATATTGATCTTTTGCACTGGAAAACTTGAACTCTTCTTTCTCACCTGTGCTCTGGTGTCAGGTCTCTCTCCACACTTACACTGCTGTGTGAAGGAGTTATCTCTTCTAGACAGGAGGAAAAGCAATCGAGTGAATTAACTAATACATTTAGAAGCATTAGTGAACATAATCATGGTGACACAGAATTACTCACCTGATCCACAGGAAGACAGCGAGGAGGATGAGAGCCAGGAGAACAGCAGTGATTGATCCAGCAGCTGCTGATTTCCATGCACCTGGATAATCAGAAGGAAATACTGACTGAGGAGGGAATTACAGGATGTTTGAGTAAACATGAGCTTAATACACTGTCACACCGTGGTGAGGTTGTCTTGTCTTGGGTTTGTTTTGTCCTGTCATTTCCTGTTTTATTTTGAAAATTAATTCTCCTCTCGTTTCAGGTCACTTGCCCTTCCTCATGTGTCTCAGTCTGATTGCCCTAAGTGTTTCCACCTGTTCCCTATTTCCCCCCATGTGTTTAAATAGTCTGTGTTCCCCTTGTCTTGTGCCAGTGTCCTTGTCCTGCACCAGAGCCTTGGTCCATGTCCACAGCCATAGTAATCGCCATAGTAAGCTGTATGTACCTCGTGAAGAGTGATTTTTTTGTTTGTAATTTTTTCCTTAGCTAAAGTTCATAGCCCTTTGTTTTTCCTCGTTCAAGAGTGATTTTTTGTTTGTTAATTTTTACCATAGCTTAGATTCATAGCCCTTTGTTATTCCTCGTTAGAGAGTGATTTTTTGTTTGTTATTTCTTGCCATAATTTAGATTCATAGTCCTTGGTTTTTTCCTCTTTAAGTGTGATTTTTTTTTTTTTTTGTTTGTAGCCAAATTATTTTTTATAGTCAGGTTTTTCCTCCATACGGAGCGTTTTGTTTATTTATTTGTTTCTTTTTGATTAGAGTTATTTTCCCTCCTCTTGGAGTGTTTATTGTTTCTCAATATTCAGAGTATAGTGTCTAGTTTTGTTTATAGCCATTTGTTTGTCACTCGGTCCGAGGTCTCCGGTGAATTCAATAAAAGCCTTTTGTTATCTAAAATCTCTGCATCTGAGTCCTGCTTTCAGTCTCGGCCTGACATACACAGCTCCAAAATCTCCAAGAGGTGTTGCGGTAAGTTGTGTTGTGTAGAGATCATTTTCATAGTCAAACCTTTCAGTTTTTGTCATCTATCCATCTTTAGGTATTTTAGAGACAGTTCTACTTTGGTTGAGGTCAGGTCAAGTATGTGTCACAGACATCTGCTACCGTCTGTAATAGTGGTGGGATGCAAAATAAAAGCTGCAGTAAACAGGTGTGTGTAGATGAATGTGTGTAACTCACCTGCTACAACAGTCAGATTTAAGGTGGAGTTACGACGTCCTCTTGTGTTCTGGGCTTCACAGTAATAATTCCCACTGTGTTCAGGTCTGAAGTCAGTGATGGTGAAGATCTGTCCTGAAGCTTTTGGTGAGTCTTCATTCTCCTTGTACCAGGTGTAATTAGCTGCTGGGTTAGCATCACTGCTACAGGTCAGATTCACTGAACTGCCCTCCAATATCTCACCAGAGGGACTCACTGACACAGAGAGAAGCTTGGGAGCATCTGGTGAAAATTATAGACAGAAATGCATAAATTCTGTGCGCAGACCTGATTTAACTAAAGTAAATCACTTTGTAGTCAGTGTCTTATGCTATATAAATAAAGTGCTATATAAATTAACTTTATTATCATCTTTATGTATGGAAGTAACTTCAAACTTTCTACAGCTACATTTTAAGACTGTAGCTGGACTATTGCTTCTTTTTAACATGTTATAAGATGAAACATCCACCATCTCTAATTTTAAATAGAGTGTCCAAGTGATTTGCCAATGTTTTCTACTCACACTGGACATCTAAGAATAGAGACGCAGAGTTGATCTGTCCATGTTTATTCTCAGACTTGCAGTAGTAGTTCCCTCTGTCCTCAGAGCTGATGGAGGAGAAATGATAAACTCCTTCTGGTCCTTGAAGCAGTTTTAGGTTCTCCTTGTACCAGGTGTAATTAGCTGCTGGGTTAGCATCACTGCTACAGGTCAGAGTCACTGAACTGCCCTCCACTATCTCACCAGAGGGACTCACTGACAGAGTGGAGGTCTGAGGACCATCTGGAAGAGATGTATTTACATTGATCTTTATGAATTGAGGTGTGTTGCAGCAACAGAAATTTTAAAGGTCTTGTGATGAATATGTCAGTGCACAATGGGAGCTACTCTGTAAATAGCAGCGGCTCACTGTGAATGTGAAGAAAGCAAGCAAAATCTGCATACAAGTCATTTGTTGCTTTAAATAAACACTTTTTACTCACATTTCACCTTAAGTGAGACATGTTCAGATGTCGTCTTCCCCAGCTCATTCTCAGCTGTGCAGTAATACTCTCCAGAGTCGGAGGACTGGACGGAGGTGAAAACAAGCTGCGGTTCTCCACTGAGCAGTAACTGCTTCTCTTTGTACCAGGTGTATTTAGCTGCTGGGTTAGCATCGATGCTACAGGTGAGATTCACTGAACTGTCCTTCATTACGTCACCAGAGGGATTCATCAACACTGAGACCTTCGGAGCATCTGCAGGATATAAACACACATTAACACGAGACTGTTATGATTAAAATATATCATTATCATCTTTCACACCTGTGTGTGTTAAAATCACTGGGCTGAACCTTGTGATTTATTTTTGGAGAAAGAGAGGCCCTCTTTATGTTTATTACACGTCCCAATAATTTTTTTTAAATACAATACCTGACTGACTTCTATCATTATATCATCTACTACACATTCATATCTTCACAAATATTCTGTCTCGGGAATAACTGTTATTTCTAAAGGACATACACGTGACAGTCTGATGTGAAAGTGGAACCCCATGAGGTACAATGATCCACTGTGGTTACCTCAATTAAATCATGCACAATCAACACCAGCACAGTATGTGCATCCATGAAGAGTTGAAAACATTTCCTTTCTCATAAAAGCTGATTTTATCCATCATTTGTTCACATGCATATTTGTTTTATTGCAGTCTTCCTCTTAAACGTCTTTGCTAATGCACTGATCAGCAAAGGTTGCACGAACATCTTAAGTGAAAATCAATATTGAAATTATTTAATGAAAATCATTTCAGTGTGTCATTGTGACATAGTGGAGTGAACTCACACACTGGAGGAGAGCGGTAACCCTCATAAGCACAGGAATAACTGTCCTCAGGATCAACGTGTCCTCTAAAAGATGGAGACGTCTCTCCCTGAATTTCTTTTTCTCTCTTGTACCAGACAAAGGAAGAACGAGCAGAGAGAAGACAGCTGCTGGAACAAATCAGTGTTGGACCGGTAGAAGTCCAGATCACCTGCACCTGCACATCTGGATCTGTGGACGAGAAGCAGATATGTCACATAAAATGAACCGTCAATAACACAGAGTTAGAGGTACGACTTCTCCCCCCTCTGGCCAGTGGATGTAAGTGCAACCCATCATGCAAAATCAGCCACTTCCCCATGTACACTTCACTCTCTTACAATGTGCTCATGCTCCACATTTACTTCTTATTTAATACAGTCCCTTATGTTAGACTTCACTTTTATCTTACCATGCAAATAACAAAATGAACATCATTAAGAAAGAATAATCTCATGAACATATTTCAGCGACATAATGAGCTTGTGCTCATCAGTACCTGTGACAGTCAGAGTTGTACCACGTAAGCTGCTCCCCCATTCAAACCCTTGTGTTTTGAATTTGAAGCGATACTCAGCTGAATCTCCCTCTGTCAGGTCAGTGATTCTCAGAGTGGAGCGTCCTCTCTCTGCTTCAAGGACATAAACACGACGTGAGTACTGGGAGTCTTCACGAAGGTCCACAGGTCGTATGTAACGCTGCGGCTGATCATCACTGAACCAGAATTTAGATTTGATAGATTGATAACTGCTGTAAGTGCAAGAAATGTCAACTGAAGAGCCTTTAAAGGCACAGATGCTTCTGTCAGTGTAAGTCACTCTGTTGCATGAAGAACCATGGACACCTGGAAAATGAAATATTTTTGATCATCACTATTCAGTTTCAGTTGGTTGTATTGCTGTGGACACAGTTACCTGTGTAGAAAAAAGATGAAATCATGGTGGTGTATAAGATAAAAATTCAAACAAGTGCTAATGTTACTGGAAGACTGTGGATTAAACTCACACACTGAAGGAGAGGGGAAATCCTCGTGTCCTTTTACAGCACAGGCATAACTGTTTTCACCATAAAAGTATGCTGGAAAAGAATGTGCATCTTTCTGAATATTCTTTCCACTCTCGTACCAGATGTAGGACGGATGATCAGGTAGAGGACAACTGCTGTGACACGTGAGACGTGACCATGTACAGGGATAAGTTCTGCACCCTTTTGATTCGCTCATCTTCACCTGTAAACCTGGATTCATAAAGAAACAGACATTGTTTTAGACAGAACTGTCAACAGATAAATGATAATAGATTTACAAAGATTCAGGGTTTAACTTATGTAGTTTCCAACAGATATGTTACCTGTGACAGACAAAGTGACTCCAGGTTCACCTGTATATTTCCCTCCTGGTTGGTTTGTAATGAACCTGAACTTGTACTCAGCTGAGTCGCTCTCTCTCAGGTCTGTGATTCTCAGAGTGCAGTCGTTCTCCCCACAGTGATACTGAACACGACCTGAATACTCTGAGTCTGCTCTCAGATCCACAGGTTCATTATCACTGAATCTAGTGAACCAGAAGGTTTTCTCAGCAGCAGTATCATGGTCATTCATCCTGGATGGGGATCTGTAGCTGCAGCGCATTTCCACGGTTGAT